GTGGCTACCTAAATGTTTAGGTTGTAACTTAAATATTTAGGTGGCTACCTAAATGTTTAGGTTGTAACTTAAATATTTAGGTAGCTACCTAAATATTTAGGTTGTAACTTAAATATTTAGGTAGCTACCTAAATATTTAGGTTGTAACTTAAATATTTAGCTAGCTACCTAAATATTTAGGTTGCAACTTAAATATTTAGCTAGCTACCTAAATATTTAAGTTGCAACTTAAATATTTAGGTATCTAGCTAAATATTTAACTTGCTAACTAAATATTTAGCAACTTAAATATTTAGGTTGCAACTTAAATATTTAGGTTGCAACTTAAATATTTAGCTAGCTACCTAAATATTTAGCTAGCTACCTAAATATTTAGCTTGAAACTTAAATATTTAGCTAGCGACCTAAATATTTAACTTAAATATTTAGCTAGTTACCTAAATATTTAGGTTGCAACTCAAATATTTAGCTAGGTACCTAACCATTTTGTATGTTCATTGCACTTTAGCAATTTCTGAGAAATAAAGCCACAAGGCGAGAATTTTTTTGTTTTTGTGCATTTTTAGAGTAACACAAATTCACAAATGTTAACAGAAATTACTCAAATCTATTTGTAAAGACTAATATGTTGTCTTTTTAAAGACTAAAACTAAACAATTTCATTTCAAGTTTTCATCAACTAAAACTGAACTAAAACCATTAAAAATAGAAAAAACTAAAACTGACTAAAACTAAGATATATTTTTGGTCAAAAGACTAAGGCTAAAATTAAAATGGCAGTCAAAACAACACTGGCTGGGACATCTTCAGCAGCTTTACTGCACTGGGCTGTTAAATGCCATTTTGTGACCTCATAACCACTATATTAAACACATGCACTTACACTGACATTAGATGATACTAATATAACAACTTTTCACAACTGCTTTTGGAAATTAATTAATTAAAATTGGGTAATTTCTCATTTTCTACAGAGCATATTTGTCATGGAGGAAAATACATTTCTGAACACTTTCACGTTTGTACAATATACTTATTATGTACAAGCATTATAGTATAATGTATATACATGATATTATATTGGAAAACATGAGAGTTATATTAGAAAAATGTGATATAGTACATTGAATAAAAGGTAATCTTTAAATTAAACCTCCTTTCATCCAGTAGGTGGTGGTGTTGTTATGCTGTGTTAGCCTGCTTGTAACTACTATAGTTTTCATTTTATCAAGAGTCCCAGGGGAAAAGTCTACTGAAGGAAAACATGTCCTTCTTATTGAAAATGTTGGATAACTGATTATTTATCAGATGCAGTAAACCAGGTGGAAGCAGGTGGTGGTGATTTGTTCCAACAGACCTGCTTCTCTCCACCTGGATGGAGAGAAAACAAACCAAGGCAGGAAGTAGTCTGCACATCTTTGTAAGCATCTGATCCAGGTGGTTTATTTATGTAGTTTTGGTGGTTTAGTTATGTAGTTTTGGTGTTTTACTTATGTAGTTTTGGTGTTTTACTTATGTAGTTTTGGTGTTTTACTTATGTAGTTTTGGTGTTTTAGTTATGTAGTTTTGGTGTTTTAGTTATGTAGTTTTGGTGGTTTAGTTATGTAGTTTTGGTGGTTTAGTTATGTAGTTTTGGTGGTTTAGTTATGTAGTTTTGGTGGTTTAGTTATGTAGTTTTGGTGGTTTAGTTATGTAGTTTTGGTGGTTTAGTTATGTAGTTTTG